CTAGAGGGCTGGGAAGAGCATTTCAAAAAAATTTGAAATGCATGCCAAGTCCTCTGAAAGAGAAGCCAATGCCCTTAACTATTGAGCCATAGTGTGGGATAAGTGTCTGTTTTCTGTCAATAATGTTTTAAATAAATGCTGATTGGCCAGGTAGGAAGTATAGGCGAGTCAACCAGACATGAAGAAGAGGTGGGGCGATGAGAACAGGAGAATGCTGGGAAGGAGGAAGCCCATTCCTCTCCAGTCCTGCCCAGATCAAGGAAGAAGCTGGATGTGAGCTGGCCCTCTGAGAAAGGTGCCAAGCCATCATATGGCTAACATAGATCAGAATAATGGGTTAATATAAGTTACAAAAGCTAATAAGAAGCCTGAACTAATGGGCCAATCAGTTTATAATCTTATGAAGACCTTTGTGTGATTTTCTTTGGGACTTGCCAGCTGTGGGAATAGGGCAGGACAGAAACCCCAACAAGCAGGCCCTCATGTTACAGAATGGCACACACGTGGATAACTGTATCCACAGAAATCCTGAGAAAGCTTAGGAAAGAACAGAGTAAAGCATGTTTTCTTGGTAGCAGCAATTTCTCGGGTCTGCTCTGCTTGCTAGAGGCAAGCAAGCGCTCTCATTTAAGAGAGACTTCATGACTCAGCTTTAGCTATAAAACCTTGCAGCTCTTTTTTAAGAGGTTCTGCCAAGAAACACTTAAATGGTGTTGGTAAAAGTTGACCACATGCCTTTTGGTTTTCAGTGATAGCAGGGAAAAAGCTGTGCCATTTTAAAATGCCGGCTTTCTGGGCCATCCTGCCAGGGTAAACTCTGACTCTTTCAGGCAGTCGGTCCAACTACGAAGCATTTGAATGTGGTTTGTAAGCACACTGCTGTAGCTTGCTTGCTGGTAGTGACCTTGAAATGTCATAGAGTTGTGGTAATAAAAGTGGCTACAGCCAGTACCTCAGCCATGAGGCTTAAATCTCAGAAAGCTAAGAAATGGGCTGGATTTAGCGGTCAAAGCTATGGCTTTAATCCTCTCCATACTGCTTAGCAAATTAAAGACTCATGTAGTCAGAAAAAGAGAGATATACAGTAAAGAGAGATTCAAAGACAAAGAAAACCTCTAAATGGATTATAGTGAGTTAAAAATATATGCAGGCTAAAGGTTAAAGTTCTTAAGGTAAAAAAGAAAGAAAGAGAGTAGTTGGGTGTGGTGGTACACACCTTTAATCTCAACACTTGGGAGGCAGAGGTAGATTGACCTCTGTGACTTCAAGGTGTGGTAGCACACACCTTTAATCCCAAAGTCTGGGAGGCAGAGGCAGACAGATCTTTGTGAGTTCAAGGTATTGTAGCGCACACCTTTAATCCCAGTGCTGAGGAGGCAGAGACAGGCATATCTCTGTGAGTTCAAGCACAGCCTGGTCTACAGAGTGAGTTCCAGGACAAAGATACATAGAAACCCTGTCTCAAAAAGAAATAGAGTTTAAAATAAAGCTGCATAAAGATGGAAAGCACACAGAGAATCTGGATACTGTATGCTATTATGCTCTTTTTGAATTGTTTGAATGCTGAAGAAGGAGCAACAGCTACTAAAAGATATTTGCTTATAAATGTTGCTAAATTAATCCAAGATAGGTATTTTGAAACCACCTTGACTGCATATTGAAGTCAAAAGGTATGTTACTTTGGAGAAGAGATTTTGCTTTTGTTTCCACAGGAAATGAGGGACTGTGGATTCATTCTGAGTTAAGAAAAATCAGGTTTCTTAAAGGAAGATGACCTGAGAAATCTCCAGTAGGAACAGATGGCCTGGATGTCTGAGTTCTACATTCAGAACAGATTCAAGACTGCTGCCTGAGATGATCAAGACTCACAGGACACTCCAGTCAGGACTTGATCATAATTCTAAATTTTTTTAGGTCCCCATAAGATTATCAGCGCCCCCAACCAGCCAGAAGTAGCCTGGAATACTACACCCACATTCACCAAAAATTGACCATGGATATTTTCCTTTTCTTTCTTTCTTTCTTTCTTTCTTTCTTTCTTTCTTTCTTTCTTTAAAAGAAGGGGAAGTGGTCCAGGATAATTGTCTGTATTCTGTCAATCATGTTTTAAATAAATGCTGATTGGTCAGGCAGGAAGTATAGGCAGGTCAACCAGACAGGATGTAGAGGCGGGGTGATGAGAACAGGAGAATACTGGGAAGGAGGAAACCCATTCCTCCCCAGTCCTTCCCAGATCAACAAAAAAGCAGAATGTGACCTGCCCTGCTGAGAAATGTACCAAGCCATATGACTAACATAGATCAGAATAATGGGTTAATATAAGTTACAAGAGCTAATAAGAAGACTGAGCCAATGGGGAAATCAATCTATAATCTTATGGAGACCTCTGTATGATATTGTTTTGGACTTGCTGACTGTGGGAACATGGCAGGACAGAAACACCAATAAGCCCAGCCATCATGTTACAAAGCCATCTCTCTAGCTCTCTGATTTCTCAAACTGATGGAAGGTTTTAAGAGAAGACTAGAAAAACAAAATAACACACTATTGGTGAAGGGACGATTCAGAAGACAGAATAATAGAAAACATCCAGCTAATATATAACAAAGACATTATAAATGAAAATAATTCAGGAAGGAGCATCAGAGATAGTCTGGACATGGAACCTGCCTCATCCCTTTAGCCCTAGAGAGAGAAACACTGGTATGCTTGCATGAAAATGTCAGAATGAAACCTGTTCCTCTCTGGGATGGAGTTATAGCTCAGTGGTTAAGAGTACTTACTACTCTCTCAGAGGATCTGAGTTCAATCCCCAGAATCCATGTGGTGGGTCACAGTCATTCATAACTAAAGTTTTAAGGGATCTAACACCATTTTATGCCATCAGTGGACAGCAAGCACACGTGTGGTACACTTACATACATGCAGGTAAAACACTCATACACATAAAGTATAAATAATAAATCTTTTTTCAAAAGAAAAGAATCCCAATACTCTAAGATGATGGGATAAAAGAAAGAGGGAGGAAAGGGGAAGGGAGGACAGATACAGAAATGGAGGGAATAAGAAAGTAATCTATGGAGAAATAGTGACCGGGGATTTCCCAAATGAATAAATGACATCAACTTACAATCCCAGGAAAATTTAAATAGGATAAAAAAAACAATAAAAATAAAGGCAGATTACAATAAAGATGTAAGAAAAAAATCTTAGTGAGAAGAAAAAAACCTTCACAGGTTGCTTCCAGAACTTAGGCCATAAACTGTGAAAATGGACTCCGGACAATCGATGGCCACCAGAACTGTACTGAGGGCAGATTCAAGCAACCTCTATTTCCTCTCATTGTTGAGAAAAATCTGGCATAAGTGGCACGGACATTAGAAGAATGTGTTTAAATCCTGAATAATATCTTGTGAAAAGCCAAACGTGGTGTGAGCAGCCCAGGTCCAACCATCAGTGAGATGGGCTGTAAACCACAGCAAGCGGATAATAAAGAAAGGACAACAGTCTGGAAGACACAGGAGGACCCCACCTGGAAGGATGACCAGAAGACACTAGGTAATTGTCCTCAAAGCACCTCAAAACTGATATAAATGGGGGAGAAGATGGGCAGGAAGTTAACAAGTGTAGCCTACAGAAGAGCTTACACAATCTTGTTGACAACCTAATGACAACCTAAGACCCCTCTCAAGATCCAACAGCCTAGACGGCATTATAAAAGGGCAAAAAGAAGCTGTCTGATATGTATATGAAGGCGGAACCCAAGACTAGGAACTGTGGGGTGTGTGTATGGAGGACAGTTAAAGTGGTTGTATCTTTTCTGTATTTCCACAAGGCTTGAAAGCTTATAAACCACATCTTATTATGAAACAGGCCTGGTGGTGCTGCCCTGAAACCCCAGTCACTGAAAAGACCCAAACATGAGACAGGATCACAAGTTCAAGGTCAGACTGGGTTGTTGAATGAGTTTAAAGCCAGCCTGAGTGTCATAGCAAAACCTCAGTTCTAAAATCTTTAAACTAGGTAGAGACATATAGTCAGGCACAGTCGAGGCCCTAGGTTCAACGGCAGTCCAGGAAATGTGTCACTTCCTGTGCAGGAGTAAACACCCTGACTGGCCCTGTCTCTGAGGAGCACATCTGATCACCACTGTGGAGCAGACAGAGGTCGGCCATGTCCTTGTCAGAGGAATCACCTCCTAGGACAGGACGCTGAAGTGAAAAGAAAAACGTGCAGCTTGCCATGGCCGTCACTAGCATGGGCCTATTTTCTTTTTCTTCTTGGATTAAAATCTGACAATGAGAGCTCAGACCAGGAGTGAGTCTGGGACAGATTCCTAGGTGACACACCCTTCCAGACAGGTAGGAGACCAGGACAGAGGGGAGCCAGCTGCTGACCCTGAGACTCTGCTATTTGAATTTCTTCCCTGAGGTGACTTAGTGAAAGCAGGGAGAGGCAGAGGGACTGAGAACACTCAGAGTTCCTGAGATAACAACAGAACCGTGTCACAGAGGCCGCCAGGAGTCCCTTACAGCTGTGACCAGAGTCTCCTTCTGACAGCTGACAGTGTTGCACACAAGAATGTTATGACTGTACATTCTGGCAAGCTGACCTTGTCAGCAGATATCTTACTCAGTTTTAAAAGCTCAGAGGGTTCTCTCTGTCTTTCTGTCTGTCAGTCTCTGATTCTCTCTCTCTCTCTCTCTCTCTCTCTCTCTCTCTCTCTCTCTCTCTCTCTCT